ATAGATAGATAGATAATCGTACTGGGATTTCTTTCTTTGTGCAACCAGGACTATAGGACTTAAGATATTAAATCCATGTTTCTAAAAATCCTAAATGTCTTTAATTCCTAGAAAAATTTTAAGTTAAACATGTAAGAGAAAAGAAATTTGGTGGAGTAGCTATATACAAGCTAAGGGGTCTGTTGAGAAGAAAAAGATAATGTGAGATAATCTGAGATAATGTGTCTGTCTCTAAGCCTTGAACGTCCCTGGGCTACGATCAGGTGCTTCAGTTGTGCCATGTTGTTGATTTTCTTTGGCCCTGTGGTTACATTTCTGTCTCAGACCACAGGCAGCATGCTCTACTCTTTCTGCACAAATGCCACTGGGTTGGTGGTTAGCAAAAGGCGGCCATTGAGATCAAGCAGGTTAATTTGGGGGTGTCCCAAACACAAACCTACTTAGAGGAGGCTTCCCTGGAAGAGTAATCCTTCTGCCATCTGCTCACAATGAGCTGTGGTTCCAACCCATGCATCAGGCGGAGGGGGCTGTGTCCTGGACAGGGGAGTCAGTGCTACAGCAAAAATTACCCTTGTCATCTTAATCTTAGCTGACATTTACTGGGGAAATACTATGTATACATCCTACTCATATGTAATCTCCACACATCCTACTCATATGTTATCTCATTTACAACAACCTTATGATGTAAGTATTATAAGTACCATCCCCATTTTACAGATAAGGAAACTGAGACTCAGGGATATTAAATAAGTTGCCCAAGGTCACACAGCTCAGAAGTGTTAGATACAGCATTGACCCAGGCAGTCTGTCCGTAAAGGCACAGTAATTAATCATATGGCCACATGGCCCCCTGGCACTGCCCCTTGTCCCAGCTCTACTATTAACCCAATGACATTGGTCAAATCACTGTTCTATAACAAGTGGGATGGGGATAGGGGACTAGATCATCCCTGTGGTCCTTATGGTTCTGACATTCTACAGTTCGATGAATTGCTTTACCTGCTGGGCTGGAACAGACTAATGCTTTGTGTTGGAGAGAACCCAGCTATGGCCATGACAACTAACAGGCAGAAAGCACCCTCTCTGCCGAGAGACTAAGACCTGGCAAACCAGGGCTGTAGACCATCAAAGGTTGTGGGGAGAGAGCATGGGGAAAGCACAGGGAAGTGTTAAAGGCCAGGATTCCAGTCCTGAAGAAGCAGAAGAGACCCGTCTCCCACACTCACACGGCCCCTGACTTTGCTTCCACATCCTTCGGCACAGACTTTTCCTTAAGTGGTCCCGAAGGTTTCAGAAGTCTCAGAGTTATGGAAGGCGTGAGGCTTAGGATCACCATTTTGCCAAAGGGGAACCTCATTAGTCAGACAAGAGGGCAGAACAGAGCGAGTGGTGCCAGACCCCTGGGCTCTCCCTGCCTGCCACTCTTCAACTCAAAGCCCTGCCTTCCACGGGGGCCAGAGCTTAGTTTATGCAAACAGGGATCTCTCTAACTTAAAACCAAGGCTGTTCTTTGTAGTGAAAATAAACAGGAAACAACCACTTCAACGTCCATAAAGAGATTACTTAAGTAAATGTATGGTGTGTCCACGCCACAGAATATACAACGTAACTACCAAAGAGGGTGCCATAAAAAACTATGGAACAACAGGGGAAAAAACGTTCTCAATATATACTTGCTAAAAAATTGCAGGCTAGAATCTTATTTTGAAAAAATATAATGATTTGCAAAATACTAGAGCTATGATCCTTAGGTGACAGGATTATGAGTACTTTTTATCTTCTTAATCTCTCTTTTTTTATATTTTCTACAAAGGAAGACCTATTTTTATGATAGATAATATGAAGTCATATGAGTTAATTGATTAGTAACAGGATTTTTCCTCATAATATCTGCAAATACATTTGTTTATAATTCTCATAAATCTTAAGTCTTAAATTTATTTGTCATCAATGAAATAAAAGTAAAACCTTTGCCCAGTGGTTGTAGGTTACATTCAGCCATGGCCTCAGCCAATGCTTCAGGCTTGACGACTGTCCCCTACTCACTCAAGTCATCCTGCTGTCCTCCACTCTGGGCTTCCCCATCACCTAGCATCTTTGAGCCCACACGGGGTGCTCAGTGTGAACTCAGGGCAGACACCCTCTTCTTCCCCACCCGAGGGCTCCCATAGTCTGTGGGGTCCTCTCAGAGCTGATAATAGTCTTGTTTTAGTTACAGCCATGGACTTAAGACTCGGGTTGTTGCAGGGGCAGGGGGAGGGGAAGGTGGTCAAATGAAGTGAAAATCACTCCCTTCCAAGGAAAGGATGACTCATTCCAGTTCTCCTGGGCCTACACCATGGTTCTTCTCAGATGGGGCCTCCTCTCTGTGGCTTTGGGCCTGTGGCCCTGGCTGATATTCAGGGATTGACTCAGTGGAAATATTTGTATCAAGGTCTGGCAGTTTGGGTGGTAGCAAGCCCAGAGACCCTCCTCCTAGGGGCAATGTCTGGTAACAGGGTTGGTAGGGTAAGGGCATGTGCTGACAGCCAGGATAGCTGAGGGGGACAGCCAGAGGGACTTTTTCTTTGGTCACTCAGCTATAAACTCCAAGATGACAGAGAACCAGCCTTGCTCTCCACTGTGTCCCCAGCATGTAACTCAGTGTCTGCTCTTAGTAGGAAATCAACAAACAATTACTGCTGAATAAAGAAAAGAAACTAGGTGTTAAAGAAGGCGGCCTAATCCTAATCAATATCAGTATAGGTTTTTAGACTTGATTCCTTTCCCCAAAAGAGTGATTGACTTTGGATATTTGTCATCAG